ATACAATATAATATATATATATATATATGAATATACTATACATTTTTTCGCATAAAGCAAGATCATATATTTCTGGAGGCTTCTGTCATCAACCTGAATATTCTGTTTTTATTCTACTGTGTGACAAATACTAATCTCAATATAAATCTTTTTGTATAGCTGCCTACTTTTTATTAAAAATTTCACTGCTTTTGAAGTAATCTTGATTTTATATTTAAAACTACAAGAAACTGAGTTGGTAAATCCTTCATATAAAAATTAATTTTATATATAATATACAGCATGAATTTAAATCATATATCCAGCCTGCCTACACCAGTATGTGTGTTCCCTGCCTGAAGGAACTACAAGGGAATTATGTGCATGGATGTCTGTCCTTCTGCATGCATTGTTAAGTCTTAACTTGTTAAGTTTCCCTAACATTTAAACTGTGAAGCTGTTATACTAACCCTGTTAAAAACCCCCAAACAAACCAAACAACAAATCCCCAACCCAAACTTCTTCATTTAATGTGATATGGTAGCTTTTATGGCTCTCCTCTGGCTCTGACGAGCCTTGCTGTGCTGCCCCGCAGGTGGCAGTAGCGGTCTAGCAGGAAAGACGCCTGACCAAAACCTTTGTGTTTCTAACTTGTAAGTAAAAGTAAAACCAATTAAATTCCAATGCTTTTTTCGTTTTGTTGTTTGGTGAAGGATGCTCCCTTTTTATTTGGTCACTGGATGGCGTTTGACCTTCTAGGCAAAGAGAAAACTGCACAAGCTAAAGACTCGTCTGAATTTGTTGTGCAGCGAAGCACTATTTTGCTGTTTGGCTGTGTGGTAAAAGGTAGGAGTGAAAATGTCTTCACTCCCAAGTAGAGACTGAAAGTACCGATTAAGACCTGGAAGCTGAAGAATGCTTCAGGCATTCGAAACGGTAACACTGGCAAAGTTCAGGTTTTATTCAGTTCTGACTCTCAGTGGATTTCAGTGCTTGTAAGAAGGGATAGATATTGACCTGTTGTTGTAGTCATAACTTCTCTTTTTTTGTAACAGCTTTTTCATTGGCAAGATGAAATGATATTTCATTTCCCTCTTCCTCTTACATGTATTTCATATTTTTTTAAACTAGATTTGCATCTGGTATTCTGTTAAGGTCAGCAATCCTGAACTCTCACACAAATGGGAAAGATCAAGAATGCTTTTTCTGAAAAGCAACAGCAGAAATTTACAACTTAATGATAATCAATATAATCACCTATTGTTAATTGCTTATGACTGAATATTATTTACACTCTGTTTGCATGCCCTCTGCAGCATGTGCAGAGCATGTTGAATATGTAATGTGAACAGCTTCAAGAGAATTTTAGTTTCTGAGAGTAAACAGTATCTGTTTTCATGTATAGTAGCAGAGTGCAGAAGTCTTACACGTGCAAGTATTGCTTTCGATGCAAAATTAAGCAGATTTTTTTGATGAGGAAGGAGTTTTCAAAGGAGCCTGAGGGTGCTCCAGAGATATCCCAAACAAGTTAGTAGCTGACCATGAGTCACACCAGGTATACTTTAAATATTCAGCTGAAGGTCTGATTTGGGAGTGTGTTTAATAAGAGTAAGACGGACTTTTTAACTTTTACTTCCATTAGTTTATGTTAGAAAATTCTTATAATTTATTACTCCTAATCTAATCTTTCATCAACATTCTATCAAACACTTCACACAGTTCCAGCTAAAATGATGCTGAAACTGTAGTGAAACTTAGAACAATTTGGGTTTTCAAAAGCACTAAACTTAAAAGTGGTATTTTAATTTTGGTCTTGCATATAATTACTTCAGAGGATGTTAAAATGAGAGAATTGGATTAGAAATGCTTGAATACAATTCAGGTATTATGAAACTGATTCAGTAGTTTATAAATAATACACTATCAGTAAGGGACTGAAAGTAGTGTTAGAGAGCATCTTGTTTTCTAAATTGATTGGTATGAGTAATAGCAGTTAAGACTACTTCTGGGATTGAGGTGCAAGCTTTGTGTGCTATTATAAATAGAAACAATTAAAACTGTGAATGGTATCAATAACCAGACCTTGTCCTAAGAGTTGTGCAAGACTTAGCTTGTGTCATTCAGGTAGAACTCAGAATTACAGATTCAACTGCTAAGTCAATTGTTTGAGTGATCAGTTTGGTAGTGCATAACTGGAAACATGCAAAACATTTTAATTTCTTCAAGAATTATGTTGTGAGCAATTTGTATAGTAAGAGAAGGCCTACAGAAAGCATATGCTTTCCAATAAAAGATAGTTTTTCAAATTATTACCATATGCATGTAGGAGTCACTTTGTACTGTAAAGTTATTTTAGATACCAGAATAATTTGTTTCATACTTTGAGTTCCTCACTGTTAAAGTGTCCCCTTAGATTTGCGATTACTTTGACTGTTGTGTGTCATATAGTAAAAAAATAGTTTACAATAAAAGAAATTTAACAAGTAATTGAAATTCCAGATTGTGTGCAAAATGTGCCAAATGAAGTAATGGTATTTGTAGGGATATTGTATGAGTGCAGTAGCTTTGGGGAAACTACTATAAAACTATTAAATATGCTCCCCTCTCCCTGCTCTCTTTAACCACTCTTACAAAAGCCTGAGAAAATAAAGCAATCTCAACTGCCTGACAGACATTCTGACAGATACTAATATATTATAAATCATACGATATAACTTTTCTTATTGTTTTTATTGATGTAGAAATTCAGAGACAGCCTTAACAAGGAAATGTTACTGAGAAAGGCTGTGTATGCTTTATGTTGAACAATTTTCTTAGGACCCAGCAAAACAGTAATTGAAGCAAAGGGAAAGTGTCATTTGTAATTCTGCTTTTCTTAAACCAATGCTATTGTGTCTGAGCTGGTGCAGACTTGAAGGATGTCATGATTTACGGGGAAGGTTGGTTGAAGTGAATTTGTTTTAAGGTGGAGTTTTTGAATGTGCATTCTGTAATGCAGACCGTTTACAAACCACTTTTCAATCCTTTAGTAGTATATCATAAAAGATTTATTGCTAACACTGTAACTGTATTTCTTCATGTCATTTTGATTTATATTCGGATGTCCTCATGGATCTTTTCTTCTTAGCTTAACAGATTTATAGCCTCAGGAAAGAAATTTTAAGATGATCCAAAGTCATTGCTGGAGGATTTTAGAAATTATCTTTTTTTTTTATTTCCCCAAGTGTCATTTTACTTTCTCCAGCTGTGGAACAAGCTCATGATGCACTTTCTCTTGTCATATTTTTTATTTTATTTTTTAGCAACTTCATTATTTGCTGTAACTAAATATCCAAGTGTGGGGCATTATATTTGGTACCATGGTAGCATCTGCTTCAACAGTATCTCTTTTTTAAAGACTTTGCTGTGCCCATGGCTAGTATGGCAAAGTTCTCTGCAAACACCTGGCAGGCATTAAGCAAATTCACATACATATGGTGCTGTTTACATAGCTTAACAAGTCTGTGTTATGATCCGAGAAATCATGATAGTTTGTCTCCTTCCACTGCTCGTATACATTCTCAGGGTAAGCCCAATGTATTTGTTCTGTGTGCCATCCAGAATTCTGTAAAACTAGCACAGATACAGAGCTTTTTGGACATCAGAAAACTAGAATCAGCAGTTCTTGTAATTCCAACAACAGACCCAGTCCTGAGCAAGGAAACCAACTATAGTCAGTAACATGCAAGCAGCCGGAGAAGACAGGACTCATGCTTAATTCCAACTTCTCTCACTTCAGATTGAGAGTTTACCATTTGTCAGAAATAATGGATGCAAACATGAAACTTACAGGTCACACGTAGGCCACTGCATATGCAAGAGAGCTGCTAACACAGGCACTGGATAAGTATCAAGTCTTCTGTTTTCTTTTCTTAAAAGTATTTGTTGAGAGAGACTTGACATCTCCAGCCTATGGTGCTCCAAAAGACACCTTCCTACTACATAATTTTTGTAGTGAATGTTAATATACGTGCAAGATTGGAGTGGTGGCTGGAAGCTTTTCTGTTTCAATAGGAATGGTAGTCCCGAAAAAGAAGACTGTTTTTGTTCATGATGAGCTGATAAAATAGAAGAGTATGTTTTGAGCCCTGCTCTGTGTGTTCTGTTCCAGAAGGCAGTTCAGATTTGCATCTTCCAACTGCAGCAGAGGACTACCTGGGAGTACTTGTTGTCCAAAAAACAGACCTGGGCAGTTTCCATATAATTCAACCAGGAGTTTTATTTCATTCACTCAGTAAAAACTACTTTCTGGAGAAAGAGAAAGCGCAAACATCTGCAGCAACTGCTTATTTCTATAGTGTTACTTCTCTAGTGTTATTTCTATGGGTCATCAATTCTGTGTGCAGTTATAACTGTACAGATGATCTCAGTTACAGCATAATTTTTGCTGAATATTTTATTGCAGTTGTGAAACCAACGCTGGAATTGTTGCCTTAGGATTCTATAAAAAGGCATATTGGACTGTCCAATTGGACTATCAGTTATGAAAATTAACCCGTGACACCTGTTTACCTTCATAATTTTTATTACCTGTGAAAAATTTGTAATGAAGTTTCCTAACTGTATGTACTAGAGCCATGCTACGAGACAACATAGGACACCAGAGAGAATTCTGCTGTTTTTATATATCTACCTGGTTTTTAATGAGGTTATAATAGAGAAGGTACTTGAAAGGTATCACTGTATGTAAGTTAGAAGAATGTTTGTTAGTTCTCTATGAATTATAGCTTTAACACTTACATAAATGAAATATTTCACGTGGCTTTAATTAGTGAAACAGTGTGTTAGACTTTCTTATCAAAATTAATTTTTATATCTAAGAATTAAGCCTTTTATGAGGATGTAACTAGGTGGATGGATGTTGACCGTGCTGAGGTTTATCTGGATTTCAGTAAAGCATTTGACACCATCTCCTGGAGAGAGCATCCTCATAGCTAAACTGAGGAAGTGTGGTCTGGATGAGGTGGGTTGCTAACTGGTTGAAGAGAAGAAGTCAGAGAGTTGTAGGCAATGGGACAGAGTCCTGGCCTGTGTCTAGTGGGGTCCCTCAGGGGTCAGTGCTGGGGCCAGTGATGTTCAATATATTCATCGATGAGCTGGACGAGGGATTAGAGAGCACTGTCAGCAAGTTTGCTGAAGACACAAAACTGGGTGGAGTGGCTGACACACCAGAAGGCTGTGCTGCCATTCAGAGAGACCTAGACAGGCTGGAGGGCTGAGTGGGGAGAAATATTATGAAATTCCACAAGGGCAAGTGTAGAGTTTTGCACTTGGGAAAGAACAACCTCATGTGCCAGTATAGGCTGGGGACTGAAACGCCGGAGG